TCTATTATTGATTGGTTAGGCCGCCAAGACCTACAGTTTGATACATTTGGCATAGTTGTAGGTGTTGTGGTTACTGAGATGAATCGAGAGACTAAATCACACCAGACCAAGCACAATACTCGTTCTTCCACCTCCGAGAGGGAAGTGAGAATGGAGGTAAAGAACGAGTAAAAATCACAGACATCTTTTAAATAGAATTAAATTATACTGTACTAATAAGTATACAAAACTGATTATTATGCTGTTAATGAACTATTCTATGCTTCAAGGATTAAAGGGAACACATCTTCGGTATTCCCTCGGGCGGTGGGATGAAACTGTGGTCGCAGCTCGGGTAGCGGTGGGGGCACAACGTGCCGTGCAGGCTGGCTCTTCTCAGACAGGAATCTGAAGCACGTTGGTGCACTGGGCAACGTCGGTGGGACCCCGGGCGGCCACCACGACAGCGCTCTGCGGGAACAGCTTCCTGGCTGCGGCCAGCACCTTGGGGCCGGCGGGGGCCTCGAGCACCACCACCTTGGCCCACTCTCGGAGCGCGGCGCGCGCCAGGCACAGCAGCTGCAGGTCCTCGGGCTCCGGAATGAGTGGGCAGCGGGCGCCGTGAGCCCCCACGGGCGTGAGCAGCTTGCGGTCCAGCGACGCGACCAGCTCCCTCAGCCCCGTCCGGTCCAGCGCCTCCCACAGCTGCGCGTCGCTCCAGATGCCGTGCGGGTCCATGTTCCAGCGGAGCGTGCCCTTGAAGAGGGTGGGCCGCGGCGGCACCACCACCACGGCCGCGCGCAGCAGCGGCAGCGGGATGTCGGCGATGTCCGCGCCGCTCACGAGCACGCAGCCGGCCGAGGGCCGGATGAAGCGCAGCATGACGGCGCCCAGCACGGCGGACGGCGGCCCCAGCACGCCCGCGCACTCGCCCAGGGGAACTCGGGCCGTGAGCGCGCGCAGCTCCGGCGGCCGCCACAGGTCGCGCAGCACGAGGCCGCCCGCGTCCGTGAGGCTTGGCCAGTTGAGGGACGGGTCGTCGCACTCGGCGCCCCCCTTTACGCTCAGGGACTCGTCCTCCACCTCGGCGCGCTGTGGGTGAGTGGGTAAGTGAGGTAAAGGCAAAGTTTCGGTCGCAATGTCAAAACCACGTCACTAACACTCACGTTGACGAGGTCGCGGGCCTCGGCGGCGGCTGCCAGGTGCGACCGCGCGCGCAGAGCGGCGGTGGCCGCCCTGGTCAGGTGGGTGCCGATGAGGCACAGCAGCAGTGCCGTCATGCCCAGGGCAGCCCCCGCGTCTATGGGCAGCGGGGGCGGGCCGGGCGGCGGCGGCGGCATGCCGGTGGTGTTGTTGGCGAGGGGCTCCACCCCCGGGGGTGGCGGCGGCAGCACCATGCCGGGCGGCGCCCAGATCTGCGCCACCAGCGTGACGAGCCCCGCGACGACGGCGCCGGCGCGCAGGCGCACCCCCAGCCAGGCGGGCAGCGACTCGGCGTGCACGAGGTCCGTGGCGGCCTGGTCGCACACCGCCGAGAAGCGGGCCACCATGTCATCCTCGCGCCCCAGGGACAGCACCGCGGCCCGCGACGAGTAGGACGCGCCCACGAGCTGCCGGAGGGCCGCGCGGCACGTCCGCTCTCGCTGCCACATCCGCAGGCTGGCCGCGCTGGAAGCAGGCGAAGCAGGCCGAGCCGATGAGTACACAAGGTGTGCTACACCAGCTACACCCCGTCCGATACGCCCTTGTTGTGGCCACCCATCGCGTCACTCACCACGCCACGTAGGTGATGAGCAGCGCGGCGGGCAGCAGCAGCCCCAGCATGGCGATGGCGGCCCAGCGCGAGGCGAGCGCCAGCAGGGCCATCTCGAACACGACCAGCGGCGTCCAGGCGGCCACGCCCGCGAGCGCGCGCGGCAGCCCCGCGTCCAGGAGCCAGGTGTGCTTCTCCACCGCGAGGCGCAGCTGGGCCGCGTGCGCCCGCAGGAAGTCGGTCGTGGCGCAGCCCAGGCGGTCGATCCACCGGTCGTGCATGCGCCTGGACTGCCCCAGCAGCGCCTGCGTGACGGTGAACGTCCTGAGGAAGGCGAGCGCCACCACCATACTGGCCGCCATGAGGAAGCCCAGCACGAGCAGCGGGGGCCGCGGCTGCAGCAGCGCCAGCCAGAAGCACAGCAGCATGTCGGCGTACATGGCGGACTGGAGGAGCAGCGGTAGCGCGAGCAGCGCCAGCCGCCCGGGCGAGGCGCCGCACTCAGCCGCCACGGCGCGCAGCTCCGACCACGCGCCCGTGCCTGCCACGTCAAGGGAATGCATTACTCCGCCTCCGACACGTGTGCGCCGACCAGCCCGGAAGGTCCAAGTACCTGACACGTCCTCGTCGTCGCTGTCCCGGGACCGCTCCGTACTCCGCGTCACCTCGGGCTGCTCGCGTGACGCCCACCACTGCTCTCTACGGGGGAGATGGAAGAGGAAGGGATCGTCAGTCCTGACTACCTTGTACGAAATGCGATATCAAAACAATGACATCGTTTCTACTTTTGTTGTCAGATTTTTGCACGGCAGGGCTTACTCTCGGCTGTTGGAATCGATGACATGAGGGTACTCCCTACCGCTTTCCGCCAGGTCGGCGGGCGCACCGCGCTCAAGGACGCGACCCTCCCGCAGCACGTAGACCTCGTCGCAGTGCCGTAGGTGCTGCAAAAGAAAAATAACCAGGCGTTGACGCCAACAAACACGACTGGGTCGGGCCCGACGTAACACTGTCGGCGACGGAGGACGCCTCACCTGTTCCCTGTTTGTCACAAGAATGACGGTCTTCCCCTTGAGCTCGCCGAGGATGGCGCTCTCGAAGATGCGGTCGGCGGACGCCGAGTCGAGGGCGCTGAGCGGGTCGTCGAGGAGGTACGTCTCGCGGTCTGCGTACACGGCGCGGGCCAGGGCGAGGCGCTGCAGCTGCGCCGGCGTCATCCTGGTCGTGTCGACGAGTGTGTCGTCGCCCGTCGGCATGGCCTGCACGTCCCGCTCCAGGCCGGTGCAGTGCAGTGCGCGGTAGTAGCGCTGGCTGTGCAGCGCGCCGCGCATGGTCACGTTGTCCCGCACCGAGCCCGGCAGCAGCGCCGCGTCCTCCCCGACGTAGGCCGTGCTCTCGTCCCGGTGCAGCTGGCCGGCCGTGAGCCGCAGCTGGCCGCTGGCCGCCAGCAGCAGCGCGGACTTGCCCACCCCGGCCCGGCCGCACACCCCCACCAGCTGGCCCTGTATAAAAGAAGCAGTGCGTGGGTCAGAGCGGCGCTCTGCGCGTCCGTCGCCAGTCACCCGGGCTCGATGGAGGATCACCTTGTTGACGACGATGTGTACGGCCGTGAGGACGTTGCTGCACGCTCCAATGGGTATCTTAGTGGTTCCCACTCGAGCCTCACTGCCAAAGCGTAACATGGATATCTAAAGTCTAGGCATGTCTAAGCAATTGCTAGCCTACACTATGATACCCTGGAGATCTAGCAAGCTAGGAAAAATATAGTACAACTCTACTTTTTTAATATCCACACAAATCTATGAGCACACAAAATCTACATACTGATGAAAACGAAAACCTGTCCTACGAAATATTTGAGACCAACCTGAGGAACCTGTCAGAGCCGAACTCACTCGAGGACCACGAGAAGCTAGCGTTGTTGAAGGACAGAGCGACGAGGCGGTCGATGGGCTGCCCGGGGTGTGGCTTGGCCTCCTCCATGGAGAGCACTGCCTGGCCAGACACAGTAGGCGTTAGTGTTTAAATTTTCCTCTCTCTTCAGCGCGCCGCGGCGGAGGACTGTGTGTAGTACTACCTTGAGATGGTCCAGGCAGGAGCGCGCTTCCAGGGTGGCTTGAACGGCTTGTCCCCAGCCACGCAGTGCGGCCTCCAACTGCACCAGCAGCAAGATCAGCACCGGGTAGACCTGCGGCAAAGATAGGGGTGCTGCTGAGCGCCTGCGGCCGGCGGGCCACCGGCCTGCAAGACACGGGTGCGCGCGGGTGGCCTACCCCGCGCCCGCGGTTCTGCTGGGCGCCTGCGGCC